TCTACACCAAAAAATGTATCAAATATCTGAAAATCTCTTAAATTCGACATTAAAAGGTCTTCATAACCTTTACCATTAAGTACCAATAAATCCAGTTTTTGACGGGCTTTAATTTGGTATAAAATGCATTTGCGATATCATTGATACTTTAAGTTGTAGAGGGGGAGACAAAGGTTATGTGACACCCTGTATAATTATTCTTTTATGACTGTTTCCACCGGTTGTGCTAGTCACTCTAGTTACTGTTTGAATGATAAATCAAAGCGACCTTGTAAGATGCTTTGTCTATCTAACGTTAGCCATAGGTCAGATGCGACATTCGACAATTTCCTGTGGGGACTTGTAAGAAGTTATCGGAATATCTAGAATATGCTTTAGAATTCGATGGCATTGAAAGCTGAAAACCTTTGCTTTAGGTAAATAATATTTCAGATCCTATAAAACCATGAAGCCTCTACGTCGTCTGTTTGTTAGTTTAGATAAACATAATAATTATCGGTTGAAAAGTCAATTTAACGAAATAATGATTTTAAAACACACATTTATTATTTCTCAACAATCATTTATAATAAAAATAAAAAAAAAGAACCTGTTACTATCAAAATGTTGCATTAAAAGACTTTATATTACATCTCGACATATTAAACTTATAGTATCATACGAATGTGATTTAATTGATTGTATATTTCGAAATAATGTATGAGCAGCTTTAATTTCATCTATTGGTATTTCCATTCCTCGATAATCACAATTGAATTGTTTTAGTCTTGTTGTTAAGGAGACAATTAAAGTACCTAAATGGGCAAAATTAAGAGAAAGCTCTTCGTGATACATTTCTATATGTAATCGATATAAATGTGGAGCAATTAATACACAAAGATCATCATAATTCAATTGATTAAAACCAATTCGCAATGATAAAAGTGTTTTTTTGAATATTTCCATATTCCAATTTGATGAATCATTAAAAATCATATCAACTCGTAAATGTTTAAGACATGGAAGAAGTGAAAGAAGTTGACTTAGTGTCATTCGAGAACAAGTAATACCCTTAAGAGTACAAAGTACACGATTGGGTTGCCAACTTAATTTTGCTTTTGGAAAATAAAAAAAATAAAAATTACATGAACGAAGAAATGACCATTGTTGTTGATTAATACCAAATAGACAATCAAGAATCATCTTTAAAGGAATTCATTAACGAAATAGCATCTCTATAAATAAAATACTAACCATACTAGCTGGACTAGCAAGATATTCAAGCATTGGTAATGTTGTTGATTGAATTGAATTAATTTGTGCATCAGTCGGTTCAATCAGTATTAATGAACGTAATTGTGAAAATCGTTCAAGTGAAATCAATGGACAAACATTGTAAACACGTAAACGATTACAATATACTGAAAAATAACGAATAATTGTTAAAGATTGTTTATCTTCCAAAAATATATCGAGACTTAAACGAATAGATCGAAGAATAATATTAAATCGACGATTCAATTTGTTAAAACTATTATAGATATCAACAGGCGAACCTATATATTCTAATATATTAATAAGAATTTCGTTCGGAAGTTCTTCCAATTTAATATTCATACCAATAAGATTATATAATCTTAAATCAAATGAAATGACGAGTTTATTAGATAAATAAGAGGTCAATAAATGATTTCTTAAGCAATTCAAAATAGTATTTTTAAACGACATTTTGCGATTGAACAATAAATTCGGAAATGCTACATATTAGATTTTTTTAATACTTTTCCCAAGATCATCAGATTTAAAAAGATTTGAAATCGAATAAAGACCAACTACTTACTCAATGAATATTCATTTCATCGGTTCTGTTCATAATAACTCAACTCAATTATTTGAATGTGTGTATGTGTTTTTCTAGAGAAGAGAATCGAAGCGAATAAAGCACGTGTTTCTAGATAAGTAAAAAGAAGTAAAAAGCAGTATATAAATAGTATTTATGAAATAAAATTTAAAAGAAAGAAACAGAACACAATCATAATGTTCGGTAATGCCTGTCACACCGCTGTGTCGACAATGCAATTTTTTTTGTCTTGTCATTGTACATAAAGCAGAAAACACTATAAAACAACATACAAAAAGTTTTTTTTAGTACGTTTTTTTTTATTTTTAGAAGATTTTATTTTTTATTAACAAATGAATTTGAATCTATCAAATCAATAAATCATCAATGTCTTGAAGAAAATGTTTTCTTTTTGTCAGTTTTATTTCTTCTACTTTCAATTGATATCTGTCTAAATAATCACAAATAGTTACAGAATGCATTAATTAAGAATTTTGGCTCAATTTCAGCCCAGTTTGAAACCACCGAAGGTTTCAGAAAGAAATATTTAGTCATATTTCGATAGCAAGACTCTTTCATATCTGCTCAGTAATGTATGAAGTTTGTGTTTGAGTCTGGTCTATTAGATTAAAAAAAAACAGATGCTAATTGAAATTACATATAAGACTTTACTAAATTCAAGATAAAAAATAAGTTTTTTATTCATTTGGTATCTGATGTTATTGTCTCATAATAAGATGTTGACTTTTCTGGTAACTGTTAGTTTTGATTAAATTCTTGTGACAATATCTTTTGTCAATGAAAATATTCTAATACGTTTAAACTTCATGTTAAACATTTGTTAAGAGAGATGAATCAACAAACAAAAACAGTAGAATTACATATTTTTAAAATGTAAAATCAATAGCTTATCTGTCTTAATTATAAGCACGATCAATATAGATAAATCGTATTGCGTCTGGAAGTGACGTCAAGTCATTTGACGTTTCATGGTACGGTCGACATAACGTACATCGGCCTTTTTTTCTATCATGTGCCGTAAAAATTGTCATCACTAGTCGTCTGACACCATCTTCCTGGATAACATACAATGTACGTGTGTTGGGAAATGTTCGATGAAGAAAATTGACGAATTCAGATGACCATGGCTCTGATGTACATTCAATCGTAAGTTGACGAATATATGATAATGACTGAGGAAAAATGTTTAGATAGTTTTCTAGATTACAAGAGCGAAGTACTAAAGAAGAATTTGTTTCTAACCAAGGAAGAGAATAAACAGTTTGATCGTAATATCTGGTTTCTTGAGGAAATTTGCTTAGATTAAGTACTGTTCTAGATGGATATTCTATTCGAAAATGTTTTGGTAATGGTAATATTGTCAAAATTTCAAGTACTTTATAACATACAAGTCGTATATCAATTGATATCAGCATAGGAAATCGTATTAGAAGTTCATGAAGATCGTTTTCATTTTTTAAAATGCATCGAATATGACGTAAATAATTGCAACTATGACTTATTGTTGACTGATCGAAAAGAAAAACGACGTTACGTAGAATGAGTGTATTAACTGATGCTGATAATAATGGTATAATATCGATATCATTCATTTGACGATGATAACTAGGTGTATATTCAAGTATTAATTTCTTGCAGCTAATTGATTCATGCTGAATCTTTGATAGAAAACTTTGTTCAAAAGATGTATTAAGAATCACAGTAAGGGTATTGAGTGATGATAGAGAGTTAAGTGCAGTTGATAGATAATTATCATTAACACATATACTTAGATGTTGCTTTTCGATTAATGATAAACACATTGGTAATAAATGAAAATCATTTGACTTAATGTTTATTAAGTTGAAACCATATACAGCAATATGTTGTTGAATAAGCACACCATATCGTTGTAAATCATATTGAAATGCTCGAACAATATCGATAGGTAAAAGATAATCGAATATACAAAATAAAATTTCGTTTGGAAATAAATGTAAATAATTTTTGGTAATTTGTTTTCGAACAGTTGATGATGGAAGATGTTGGTCAATGTACGTTGAAACTTGTATAATTTTTTGGCGCTTATTAGTATCCATGTAAAAAGACTTTCTGTATTTGTTTGAACCTTTTTAACTTGATTTTTTACAACTCACGGCTCTTCAACATAAAATACACGTTACATAGAAAAGAATCACCTTCTTTACATCGCGCAGCGCAATACCTCGTGTTTTTTTTTCTGTTTTTATTCTATTCTGTTTGATCTAGATCACGTTGAATGCAGCAATAAATTGCAAATAATGTATAAAAGTATCTCACTGTAGAAAGGCAAAACGTATGCTGTGAGACGATCAACAATTTTCTTTTTTGTCAGTATTTTCAATTTAAATAAAAAATGTTTTATCCGTTTTACAGAAGAAATTTTATCAGAGAATTATTCATAAGCATCAAAATTTGAGTGGTTGAATTCATATGTTATGTAATATTAGCGAGAAAAAGTAAGAAATAGTAATAAAATGAACATACAATCTTTCAGATTATGTAAATTGAATAAATAAAAATTACCGTTATAGTGCTTAATTTATGGTACATTCTTATAGTTTATACATGATATTAAATTCGATAAAGAA